TAGTAGAGGTTTAGATCAGGGCATCTTTGTTTTTGAGCCACACCCAGTGGTACTCAGGGCTTAGTCCTGGCTCTATGCTCTGGGATCATTTCTGGCTATGCTCAGAGGACCATACTTGGTGCCAGGAATCAAACCAAGGTGAGCTGTGCCAGGCAAGCGCCCCAATCCCTCTACTATCTCTGTAGCCCAATCGGGGCTTCTTTAACTTTTCTACCCATGACTCTTCAAACATCTGAGGTTTTCTGGTTTTGTTTCTGTGTTTTTGGGGGGCTACGATAAGCACTGCTCAGGGATCATTCCTGATGGAACTCAGGAGACAATATGTGGTGTTGGGGATCTAACCCAGGTCAGGCACATACAAAGCAAGTGTCTTACCCACTGTACTATCTTTCCAGATCCATCTGAGAATTTTTTACACCAGTCCTTTTACATAGGTATGTTAAATAGGTATACAAGTCAAACATTTACTCATAATGAATCATAAAAAGATTTACTTTAGAACAAATTCTTAGGGGGGCTGAAGCAATAGCACAGTGGGTAGGGCATTTGCCTTGCATGCGGCCGACCTGGGTTCGATTCCCATATGGTCCCCCGAGCACCGCCAGTAGTGATTCCTTGAGTGAAAAGCCAGGAGTAACCCCTGAACATCACCGGGTGCGACCCAAAAAGCCAAAAAAAAAATAGAATAAATTCTTAGGCCAGGAAGAGAATTCAGAGGTCTAGTACACCTAAACTCAGGACCTCATATATGCAAGGCAAAAGCTTTCTCACTTGAGTTACAACTTTGGCATTACTTTCATTATTTAAAGAAAATAAACATTTTAAAAAATAAACATTTTCTGTTATTTAAAAAAATAAATAAAGGTCTAGTGCACATGCTTTGCATGCAGGAGCCTGGATTTCATTCCCAGCACTGCCAGCTCCCCTGAGCACCAATAGGAACAAGCTCCAAGTGACATATAACAAATGTAGCAAGGTGCCTAGAGTATCTTGGGAACCTTATATGGTGCTGGGGATTGAACATGGGTCAGCCACACAAGCACACTACCCATACTCTCTAGTCCCAAACCAGCCCTACTCTTTTTTTTTTTTTTTTGCTCTTTAAGTTACATCCAGTGATGCTCATGTCATGCTCAGGTCCTGGCAGTGCTCAGGGAACCTTATGGGATACTGGGGATCGAACCAGTATTGGCTGCATGCAAGGCAAACGCCCTACCCACTGTACTATTGCTCTGGTCTATATCCTACTTTTATCTAAATCCTGTTGCTTTATGCGCAACTCAAATTTTGCCTGTCTAGGAGATTTTACTGCTTCTGGACATTTATCAGCCACAATTCCTCTCTTCCTGAACATGCATGGCCCTTTTTCTTGCCTCCCTGATGACCCTTACCCATATTCTGCCTTGAATTATGGCAATTTGTGTGGAGATTTGGTCCTAGTAAGCCTATAAGCATGCAGATTGCTGAGACTATATCCTGTGTCATGTATGTAGGATTCAGAGTTCTCCTGATCAAAGCCAGGAAGAAGTCCTTCTAGCAGTTTGGAAAGTCTTAGCCACAGATCAAGCCCTTTTTTTTTTTTTTTAATTTTTATTAGTGAAATACCATGAGGTACAGTTGTAGACTTACAAATTTTTGTGCTTGGGTTTCAGTTATACAGTGATCGAGTACCCATCCCTTCACCAGTGCCCATTCTCCACTACCACTAATCTCAGTATCCCTCGCACCCCCCATCCCCCCATCCCACCCTGCCTCTGTGGCAGGGCACTCCCTATTGTTCTCTCTCTTTTTTTGGGTGCTGTGGTTTGCAAAAGAGAAATTGAGTGGCAGTCATGTTCGGTCTATAGTCTACTCTCAGCATGCATCTCCCATCCTGGGCGGATCTTCCCAGCACCCTTTATTTGGGACCCCCTTCTCTATCTGAGCTGCCTTTACCCCTAGAGTGTGCGGCTGGCTTCCAAGTCATGGAGTAAACCTCCTGGTATTTATCTCGTCAAGCCCATTTTTATCTTCAGAACTCCACTTGTGAGCTTATTGTCACAACAGAAGAGTTACCTTGAGAGTCTGAGATCATTCATGAGCATAGAAGGGACATATTCCAGAATTTTTTATTTGTTGTCTTAATTTGTGCAGAAATCTTAATTTTGAGGAGGGGGAGTCACTCCTGAAAGTGCGGAGGGAACCCAGGCCTCCTACATATAAAGTACATGCTCTAGCCCTCCGAGCTATCTCCCCAGGTGCAGCAGGTCTTTTTTTTTTTTTTTTTTTTTTAAGTTCAAGAGGTTTTATTTTTTTTTTTTTTTTTGTCACATGGGTGTGGAAGGTCCCCAGGTACTTGTCTCTTTGGTCCCTACATCCTTTATGCTTGGGTCATATCCTCTCACCTTGTCTCCCAAGTCTTTTTTTTTTTTTAATTAATTTATTTATTTATTTATTGAATCACCGTGGGAAAGGTTACAAAGTTTTCAGGTTTAGGTCTCAGTCATGCAAATATCAAACACATTTCCCTTTACCAAAACTTATTTTTTACCATGAAGAACCCCAATAAAACCCCACCCCCCACCCCTCCTAGTCCCTGTGGGGCAGATGAATTCTAGTTAACACTCTATCTGCTTTGATTAGATTCATTGTTTCAATAAAAGATTCACCACTGTTATTTAGAGTTTACCCCCCCCCCCCCCCAAATCAGACATGCTGAAAAAGCATTGTGAAGTGATTTGCTTTCTACAGCTGGGTTCAAGAATTAAATGTTGGTTTTGGATTTCTGCTATTTTACTTATTGACCCTGGAAGTATTTCTACTGAAAGTCAGATAGTTAAGAAATTGGTTTCTGTGCGCTGGAGACGTGGCCGTGCTGGAGACCCGCTAGTGGGGGGCAACTGGTGGCCTCAGTAGGGCGTGAAGGGCGGACCGAAATGCCCCCCTTCCCATGAGGTTTTAGTCGCCCCACACCCCCGGCTCATACCTGCTGTCCACAAGGCTCCCATGCGGCCGCCATCTTTCTTTCCAGAGAGGAGAAGGCGACTGGGGCAACACCCTTTCCCCTCTGGAGAGACCTGATGGCCTGGATTAACGCATAGCCCTTTCACTTTTCGCAGCAGGTCTTTTTTGCTGAGAGACTTGGCAGTTTGCTTCCCTACTTTGAACCTGTCTGTCTCCATCAACTAGAAAGTACCTCCCAAGCTTTATCATGGGGATCAGTTCCTTTAAGGACGAGGTATTCACAGGTTGACTTGGGCAGACATGTATACCTGTATCGCAACACAAGGTGACATGTGTTACAGGTTATCAGGGTAGCAGCAGAGTGTAGTTTTTCACCCAGAACTAGATTTTGGGAGGAGCCCAGTACAAAGGTTCTGCTAGCCAACTAGAATGGCAGGAACTGAGCCTCTGTGGGGTGTGGCATGGCTTTGGTTCTGCCCCTGTGCCTATAAGGTCCTTCCCACCATCCTGGGATTACAGGTTCATCCATTTGACTCTAGATTTCATTTTTACAGGGCACCCATGTGCAGGCGTTTCATGCTCACCTTCATGGTGTCAGGTGGTGCCAGAGATCTTTTTTTGGGGGGGTCACATTCAGTGATGCACAGTGGTTACTCGTGGCTCTGCACTCAGGAATCACTACTGGCGATGCTCAGGGGACCATATGGGATGGCAGGAGATTGCTGGGAATCTAACCCAGGTTGGCAACACGGGAGACAAACGCCCCACCCTTTGTACTATCACTCTGGCTCCATGATGCCAGGGCTCTTGAGAGCCCTTTGGGGGTTATTTGACTTTCAGAAAAGAGAACTGTGAAAACTAATGCTTGTTCTGCAGGCAGAAGGCCATAAGTAGCTTAAGAGAGCTGAATCTGCTTGTCAGAATGTTCATAGGGGGAGCCTTGTGAGTTGGGCTGATCACCAGAAAGACGGCAGGTCTGGAGCCATTAATTTGAAGCATCTTTCAGGTCTTTGGGAGGATGGTCTGGTGGAGAGCAAACTGAGGGGCATGCCCCCAAAGAACTAGCACTTCGCTTGCAGCGAAACTGGACAGAAATGACTTGCAAAATTGTCTCTTCTGGGAGGCTGGAGCAATAGCACAGCAGGTAGAGCGTTTGCCTTGCCCGCGGCCAACCCCGGTTCGATTCCCAGCATCCCATATGGTCCCTCGAGCACCGCCAGGAGTAATTCCTGAGTGCATGAACCAGGAGTAACCTCTGTGCATCACTGGGTGTGACCCAAAAGAAAAAAAAATTGTTGTTTGGACTTTTTTTTTTTTGCCACACCTGGAGATGCTCAAGGCTTACTCCGGACTCTGTGCTCAGGGTCATTCCTGGTGGGCCTGGGGACCATATGGGCTGCTGGGGATTGAACCTGGGTCAGCTGCATGCAAAACAAGGTTTGCCTTACCTGTTGTGCTATCACTTTGGCCCTGTCTCTTCTGTTTCTGAGCTTGCTAATATGCTAGAGGAGGTTTAAGATATACCTCTAATTCTTAAAACCACTCATCAAGGTAGGCACAAGCCCACTTCACAGGTGAAGAAATGAGGTTAGAAGAGGATTTGCCTACAAAAATAAAATTGGTTGGTAGGGGGATTGGAAACCAGCCCATGTTTGCCTGGTTCCTTTTCAAGTGCACCCCTAAGAAGAACGTCAGTAAATACAGATGTGGGGCCAGAGTGATAGTAAGCGATTAAGGTACTTGTATTGCAATCAGCCAACTTGGGTTTCATTCCTAGTACATCATATGGTCCCCAAGCACTTCAGTAGTGATCCCTGAGCACAGAGCCACAAATAAACCCAGAGCACTACCCAGTATGGCCCCAAAACAAACAAAGACAGATGTTCCCATCCCAACATGAACCACAAACTGCCACTGCCCTACCTGCAACATGCACCCCTCCCCAGCTTTTTCAGGATACCTGCCACAGACTTCACTGGGTCCTACTCTGGGTCCCACCCTACCTCCTTTCACTTCCACACCCACCTAAAAATGATTTCTCCACCTCTTCTCTCCAGCAGAACGCCCGAGACATGTATGCAGAGGAGCGGAAGAGGCAGCAGCTGGAGAGGGACCAGATTGCAGTGACAGAGCAGCTGCTGGGAGAGGGGCTCCAGGCCAGTGGGGACACCCAGCTCCGACGGACGCGCTTGCACAAACTCTCAGCCAGACGGGAAGAGCGGGTCCAGGGCTTCCTGAAGGCTTTGGAACAGAAGCGGGCTGACTGGTTGGCACGTCTGGGCACTGCATCAGCCTGAATGAAGCTGGGCTCCTGCCATCCGCCCTGCCCTCTGCCTCCAGGGCCCCACTCCCCTTTCTTTTCCTGGTGAAAGGCCCCTCCTTCTCGATGATGAATGTGTTCCCTTGGCTTGGCAGGGGAGTCCCAGAGGCCAGATCTGCTGGCAGTAGATGCTTCTGCCTGTCTGGGACAGTGGCTCCTGGAGTGAGTCAAGGGTAAGAGTCTTCCACAAATACACTAAGCCAGCTTTGGCCACCAGTAGGTTTGGAGAGCAGGGAGCCCCACAGTGCGGCCTGCTCCATTGCCTCCATAGCCTTTTCTCCTAGTTGCACTTCCTTTTCCCTCAGCATCTCCTTTAGCACAAGGAATGGCAGGTAGTTTCCATTTTCCCCAAATCTTAGGCCTTTTAATCGTCCATCTTGCTTTACCCACCGATTTTCACAAAAGCTTTGGCTCTACCTTGGGTCTGCTTGGTAAATCACTTATAGGCAGTCCAGCATTATTTGGGCAAGGAGGGGAGGGAGAGACAGAAAGAAAATTTGCCCATCTGCTGCTCCTCCCCCTTGGCTCTCCACCTGGGATTTGCTATTGAATCTCTCCCCCTGCCACCACGCAGTGCTGATTGCTCACTGAAAAGCTCAGCGCCCCCAATGGCTCGCGGAAGCCAGGCGGGTGATTACAATCCAATTACCTATTGTCGACTCAGCCCACACAAGCTTTTCTCCTCCTCTTGCAGGGCATGGGGCCAGGCTTCACTCCCCAGTGAGACGGGCCCCCTCCATGGCTACGGGGTAACAGAAGGGCCTGTGGGCCCTAGTGAATCTAATCCACTACAGGCCGCCTTCCCTGTAACACATCAGGACCAAGATCGCAGAAACAAGCATTTCTTCCAACTGACTGTCTCCTAGCTCACCCTCTCAAACTCCACTTCTCATCTCAATCCTTGAGGCTTCTCCGCTCTTTTGACCTGACCTTTTGAGTAGCCCTGAGATGATTCTCAGCATGGCAGTCCCTGCTTATGAGGACCAGCACTGCCCAGCAGGAAGAGGGCAGAGGCAAAGGCTGTGTCCTTTCCCTTCCCTCGCCCTGTCAGACCTCTCTGCAGAGCTGCTGAGAGGATTAGTGCCTTTGGAGAGCTCTGCCAGAGCAGATCTGCTTCACCTACCCCAGACCAGCAACTATCAGCCAGTTATGCCAGCCAAACAGCAAACACTGTTTTCTCAGTACATCCCTTTAAGGGAAAGGTGGGGTCTTGCTAGCAGTGCTGAGAGCACACCCTTTAAACTCCTCCCTCACTTCCTATGAGCCAGTCTCTGCCCTCCTTCGAGGTATCTGGATACCTGGCACCAGAGACCCCTTGGCATTATTTCTGGATCAAGCATAAATGTCAGGCACAGCGATCGAGAAGCCAATCAATGCAGCCTTTGGCAAGCCCCCTCAGCACACCTGGCACTCCTGACTACCAATCCCTGGCACGAGGTTCCCAGATAGCAGGTGCTGTACATTTTCCAGCTTTACAATGGGGCTGCTGACAGCTTTAATTAGGGAGGCATGAATTATGTGGCTATAATGCAGAGCCTTACAATTAAGGCGGGAATGAGGGACTGGAGGCAGCAAAGGGAATCTGCCCTGTGAGCATTGCTGTTGAGGCCTGTCTCCATTCTGTGCAGTTTTCCTCAGTACGATTGGGACAGCATTGGTGATTAATGGGGCTGGCATCTCGTTTTGGCCCGGAGGCCTATATTCTGGGAAAGGTACAGTGGGGTGGGTCAAGATAGCCCAGGAGGCATCTTAGGGTGCTGAAAGAAGAGGTTGAGGAACCGTTGCCACCTACAAGCCAGGAGTGAAAAATTATTTGAACTGGACTGTGGTTGCGTTCAGCTGCTCTGATTGGTACCATCCAGCTTCAACCCTTGCTTCAAGAAGCTTAAGTGGGTCCTGTTTGAATGCCCTCCCACCTGGAAGCCGAGCCTCGGCGTGAAGATATTTTTTGTGTTCTTGTGTTCTCCTGGGTGTCAAATAGAAATTCAAAAACTCCGATGTCAAACTCTTGTTTGTGGACGAGCAGCGGGAAGAGCGCCTTGTTTGGCTGCTGTGGCTGTCCACACCCCCCACACTCCACCGCTCAGGTGCGCCAGACTAGCGCCAGGATCCTGAGCGCGGGGGCGCAGGGGGCGGGGTGGGGGGCAGCCACGGAAGAGCCCTTTCGCCATCGCAACACCTGTTCCTCTTGTTTCCTAATCCCTGGGCGCTTTCCTCCACCCGCCTTCTCGCGCAAGTGAAAGGAAGCTAGCCTGCCAGTGTGGAAGGAGGGATTTCGCCAGCTGCGTTTGCGGCGCCCAGGCTCGGTGGCCCAGGGTGGGGGCAGCTGAGCTCCATGTCTCCCAGCGGGTGGAGCGGAGGGGGAAGGGAGGGCTGCCGGGCCTTCCAGACGGCCGCTCTCCGCCGCCGGGTCCTGAGGAGCGGGAATGCCGCGACCTAAGGGAGCCAACGAGGCTGCGAATGGGGGGGATCTGTTGGCATTTGGGGAGACCGCTTGGCCGCGGGTGCTGAAAGGACAGCTCCCACTGCACCCGAATGGCACCTCTGCGCGTGAAGTGTCCCCCACGAATCCCCAGCCCCAACTCGGATGGAGTGTCTTCCAGGTGAGGTGCAAGAGCGGCTTCCTCAGAGTAGCAGCTTGGAACCATGCACGTCTGCCTGCGCCAAGCCTGGCTTCCCCGCTCGTTCCCCACTTCGGCGCCAGCTTTGGCCCTGAGAGCTGCAGCCGGTGCCTCCCAGCCGCTCGCTTCCTCCCGCCTCCGGCGGCGAAGGGCGGTTCGGCCAGGCCTCGAAAGCCCTTTTTTCTGGGGCCCCCAGCGGGGACAGAATAGAGAACGACCGAGATGCGCCCTGAAGTGTCGCACGGCTTGGAGAAGTGGGTAGCTCGGTTGCATAAGGTAAAAGCAACTTGGTAGTTTGCAAAAGCCACCTCTCGGCGTGAGCCGAAACGCAGAGCCCGCCGACTCGCACCCCACCGCCCGCCCGCGTTTATTGCCATCGACGCGCGCCTCCCCCACTGCGCCCCCACCCCCTAGGCGCGCCGCCGTCTCGCGCGCCCTCCCCCTCATGCCCCCCTCCTCACTCCCTCCAGAGGAGGTGAGTTTAAACCCCGCCCACGTGACCCCAACTGGGCCAATGAGCGGCGGCGGGAGGTGAAATCCGGTTCTAACCGGTCCGGGGCTCCCAGCGCTATAAAAACTTTATAAACCCCCCGGAGCCCGAGCAGTGTGAAGAAGAAGAGGCGAGAACGACCCCTGGACCGACCAAAGCCCGCGCGCCGCTGCACCCCGCGTCCAGCGCCCACGTCCCGCCGCTGTCGCCACCATGCCCAAGAGAAAGGTACGTGGCGCGAGGGCCCCAGGCGCTGGGTCGCCTCTGCCGCCGCCACCACCGCTGCTGCCGCCGCCGCCGCTGCCCCGAGCCGAGGGCGCGAGAGGTGGCGCCGGGCGGAAGCAGGCTCCGCCGCCCGCCTCGGAGACTCGAGCCGGTGTCAGGCGGCCCCGGGCGAACCCTGCGCGGCTCTGATGCCCGCGGGCGCCAGAGGCCATATTGGGGGAGCGGCGGCCGCGGCGGGAGGAGCCATGTTGGCGGCTGTTTATCCCGCTCCCCTCTGGTCGACGTGCCCGCCCCGCGCCCCCTCCCCCACCGCCAGCCCCCCTCCCCTCCCTGCGGGCGGGCAATTCAAACCCGAAAGGGCGGGAAGGCGGTGCTCGGGGTTGGCGGGCGGGGGAGCGCGCTGCCGCCAAAAAACCGCCGCCGCGAGGGGGCGGGGCCGCTTCTCGGGGCGGAGCTTCGCGGCGGGGCCCCACCCCCGCGCCGCCCACGGGCCCGGCGCACGAGACTCGCGCCGCTGCCGCCCACTTGTTCCCCGGGCTGCGCGCGCCTCCCGTCTCCCGCCCTCGACGGCTGCCATGGAAACGGCGCTCGGGCCCCGCCTCCGGAGGGGGCAAGCTTGCACCATCTGCAGCTGTTGCTTCTGCCTGGCGCGGGCTGCACTACACCGTGCTAACTAGCTCCTGCAGAGCCCGCGCTTCCAGACTGGAAGCTGGGACTCCGACACCGCGCCCCCGGGTTGCCACAAATGAGCGCGGCGGTAGCTTTCTAAGTACTTGAGGTATTTGCACAGGAGGAGCTCGGATGCTAAAAACGGATTTGCACGTCCTTAAGTTTGTTTCTCTAGGGACTCTACGAAAATTTACTCATTGAGACTTGATTCCATAGCTGCAACTTTTTTTTGTTTGTTTATATTTTATAGGCCGAAGGGGATGCTAAAGGAGATAAAGCCAAGGTGAAGGATGAAGTAAGTCTTATTTGGAGTGTAACAGTTTGAATTCCTTTGGTGGTGTTGAAGCATACCTCTAATTCTGAACCGAGAGAGCTTTTTCTCTTCTGTGTATGTCTACAGTCATGACAGATTGGCAGCGAGTTTTATTTATTTAATTTTAAGATGTTAAATTGCCATCTTTCTCTTTTTCCTTTTAATAGCCACAGAGAAGATCTGCAAGGTTATCAGCTGTAAGTTTGTCTTCTTTTAAATTATCTCAGAAGTTAGGAAGTGTTGGAAAGATAATCAATCTCCCTTGCTTCCCATGAACTATATTTGGTGGGCTGTGTTTACCTTACTGTGAACTCTTACCCACCTGGATTTGCTGGTTTTGATGACTGTAGTGGGGTACTTAGGATTTCTGAAGATTAAAAAATCTGGTAATGGGAAAGCAAGCCAAATACAAAAACCTGGGGAAATAAAAGAGGTGTTTTTTTTTTGTTTTTGTTTTTGTATTTTGGGATAAACCCAGAAATGTTAGGGGGTTGCTCCTGGGTGTATATGGGGTGCTGGGGGTGGAGATTTCACTATATCCTGATTTGGTAGTGGGTTGGGTTGTCTTTTTTGGGTTTTGTACTAACATGCTCTTCTTCCTCTCTTTCCCCACAATAAAAGAAACCTGCTCCTCCAAAGCCAGAGCCCAAGCCTAAAAAGGCCCCTGCAAAGGTGAGTGGGCCTAGGAGAATGTCCTAGGGGTTATGTAAGGCACATCACTTCCTATGGTGCTGACAGGGAGACTTAACTACATCTATTGTCAAAGAGGGTTTTTTTAATAGCTGTTCCTTAAGAGATCTGTCATCAGTGTACAGAAAACTTTGCCCTTGGATATTAAACACCCAAGTGTTTAATTTGCTTATTTTTGTGTTATTTACACTCAGATAAATTTTGTGTATTGAAGACCACAGCAGATTATAGGCTATCAAATAATTTGGCGTACTTTTTAGTCCGTTATTTTTGGTAAGATTGGGTTTGCATGTGTGGTTTGTTTGTTTTTTTCTCTGCAAATAAACCAATCGGCAATTCTGCAGAACTTTGCGGGCTATATTCTGGTAATATCAAATGAGAAGCTATAGCCTTTTTTTTCTTCTCTCTATTTAGAAGGGAGAGAAGGTACCCAAAGGGAAAAAGGGGAAGGCTGATGCTGGCAAGGATGGAAATAACCCTGCAGAAAATGGAGATGCCAAAACAGACCAGGTACACTTGCTGTTCTTTTCCTAAAGTCTGCTTATGCAATCAGTTACTGGTCCCAAAAGCTTTTTACATGATTTCAAGTGTGCCATTCAGTACAGAGTTCACTTGTGACTTTCTCATTGGCTTAAATGATAACTGAGCTATTGAGTTCAGTGTTGAAGTAAATAATATCTGAACTTGGAGAGAAAAGTGTAATACTAAGATGGGGTATAAATGTGGTTTCAAAATGTGTTCATCTTTTTCCTTTTAGGCACAGAAAGCTGAAGGTGCTGGAGATGCCAAGTGAAGTGTGTGCATTTTTGATAACTGTGTACTTCTGGTGACTGTACAGTTTGAAATACTATTTTTTATCAAGTTTTATAAAAATGCAGAATTTTGTTTTACTTTTTTTTCTTTTTTTTTTTTTAAGCTATGTTGTTAGCACACAGAACACTTCATTGTTGTTTTGGGGGAAGGGCATAAGTCACTAATAGATGGTCTCCAAAACTGGATCGCCGTGGGGAAAAAAAACAACTTTTCCCCCACTAGTTTTGAGAGACTTCCTCTTGATTTCCAAGAGGAGGGATTCCTTGACTTGACACAGTAGCCACCCTGGCACCCAACGCCTTGTGGTGGGTAAAAACTAAAATGTGTTTCTATGTCCTGTCTCTCTCTCCGCCTTCAGCATAGACTTGACTCCCTTAACCCCAGAGAGACCTGTTAAGCCTGGATTCCCAAAAAGTGGTTACCAGGATGTCAGGCCATCTGGACTTTGCAGTGCCCCAACTGAGACGGCAATCCTCAAAAGAACGGTTCCTTTTTTAGATTGTGGATCTTCAGATTGATCATTCTGCCATTTTTCTTTCATTTCTTGAAAGTCAGGGTCGGCTTGTGAAAAGTTGTTAAACAACATACTAAATGTGAAATGTCAACCCTCACTCTAAACTTTCGCTGTTCAGAGCATCAAATGAAGATGTCATTGGGTTTTATAGTGGCTTTCTGATTTTGGTAGTCCATTGAAGAAGGGAGTTTGAAAGTTATTGTATACTGTTAACGATTGTCTGCCCATGTCCTGCCTGAAATACCATGATTGTTTATGAAAAGTATCTTTAATAAAGCTGGATACAGTTTGGCTTGGAATGCTGCGTCTAATCTTTTCCTCGGAGTGGGGGAGCATGGTTTCTCCCAAGACTTAGGACAAGGATATGCTCTGGTATGAAGTAAATGTTCCAGTGGACAGTTTTAAAGCACAAGTTTTTGATCTGGGGATTTAACTCCTAAACTGACAGAATTGCCACTCCAGATTTTAAAACTTAAAAACTAGCAAATGAATAGGTATTAAAATCTTTGTATCTGCAGGATATTATTCTGCATCAATACGTAACTGGCACTTATGAGGTATATGATACTGTGTCAGATCAGTTTGCCTTACTGGTTAACTGTTCTAGCACCAAAAAGATGACAGTGGGGACCCTGTAGAGAATTAGTGGAACAGCAAGAGGTT